TGCTTTACCTCATTCACAAGTTTATTTTTCCATCTTGAAAGAAATCAGATCACTTACAATGAGCTTCTTATTGCCACATAGAAAGTAAGAAGCCAAATTATCCTGTCCTGCCTTCTGCTTGTTCCTGATGCTAACTGCCAGCTGAGGTTACTCAGAAGTCTCAGTTTCCGGTGCTTTCTAACATGTATGGGCAAAAGGAAGAAAGGGACCTGATCCTTCCAAACGCTGAGCCGTGGGCGCCTCGTATCCAGCACCAACACATTTACTCCTCCCACACCAGGGAACAAGTTTATCTCTCCTGTTTCACCCTGGAGCAAACAGGTGCCCAAGAGCAGACAGCAGGGCAAACCGCAGCTGCCACACCAACACCTGTCTCCTCACCCGTCCCAGGACTCTACTGCACTTGCCAAGCCATCCCCATCCAGGAGATGGGGAGATGCTAAATATTTCACAACTCAGATTCACAATACCTCAGCTGAAAACATACAGAGAACGAAAACAAATGTGTGTGTGTGTGTGTGTGTATATATATGTATATATATATGCATTATCAACAAATGTTTCACAGCTCATGAAGGTGTTTTTAAGGATCTCAGGTTTTGAATAAGTTAAATGTTTCTGTCACTCTGTGCAAGAAGTAGAAGCGTTAGAACACTCTGCCAGTAGAAGCTATCCATCAGTCAACTCAATTGCAGGTTGTGGTCCAATCACTCTTTATTATAATACACATAACACGCAGCTAATGGATGGAGCTTTTCCAGAGCCCCACATAGAAACCCTCTTTACACTGTCATGATCAGACGTCAATCAAGGGCTACTCTGTGAATTAGCTAGTTGCTGTGACAGAAAGAACTCAGTGAAGAGAGGGTTGTGTGGGCTCATTGTTCAGGGAGATAAACCACTGTGGCAGGGAAGGCAGGGAAGTGGGGATGGCTCTTCTCTGCAACAGGGAAGCACAAGGCAGGAAGATGCCAGGAACAGAAATGAGGACCAGGCTACAACCCTCAAGACCCATCCCTCCAGTGAGGCTCCACCCGGTAAAAATTCACAACTTCCCCAAAACAGTGTCATCAGCCGGGACCAAATGTTACACACACACAAACCTCGGAGGACCCGAGATTTTGCTTCCTGGGGAAGAGTAAGACAAAAGTCTTTGGGAAATCAGCAACCAGGAGCAACTTGAAACAAATATGTGAGAGTGGGTTTGGGAGGTATAGGTCTATATCTAAGACACACTGATTCATACAGCCGAGCAAGGGACTTGGAACTATAGTCTAGTATGGATGCATCCTGGGATGTTCAGCCACCATAGGGTACATTAACACAAGCCTAGTGGCACAGCCAGCCACACCCTTACCTCCACAGTGCATTTTGCCACACCCCTCAGCTCCTCTATGTAGTCCAGGCTGCATCACTGTTCAGTTTGCTACACCCCTCAGCTCCATGGCGCAGACTCCAGGATATACTCTGCTGTGTTCCTCAGCCCCATGTTGAAGCCTGAAGAGCCCTCTTGGCTCCACAGTGGAGCCTTGCCCCCTCCCCTCTGCTCCATGCTGCAGCCTGCCACATCCCTCAGCTCCAAGGTGCACACTTGAACAGCACAACACTATGCTAAACATCATAGGCAACTTGATAAAACATATGTAGCCAACTGTAACACCAATGCAAGCATTTGCACACCTAAGTATATCTAAACATAAAACCCCACAACGTTCAGGTTCCTCCTAAGGTGTACTGGGGATAGAGAAACTGCTCAGCAATTAATAGCATTTGCTGCTTTTGTAGAGGACCCAAGTTTAGTTCCCAGCAAACCTCTGGCCCCCACACACTTGCACACATACACACATGAACACACACACACACACACACACACACACACACACACAAGGGGGCGGGGGTAAGAGCCTAAGATTTTTGCTCCCTCCTCACATTTGAGGAGCAAAGTGCCGGACATGGTTAAGGTGGCCATAGGGCAGGGACTGACAGAGTACACTGTGGGGATACCCAACATAGGAACAACAACATGCAAGGTCCTTGTGGGCAACCTTCTCCTCCCTCCCTATCAGCCAAGTCTTCGAGTTCTACTCTACACCCCAGGGTCTCTCCCAAGGTCTCATTCCCGCCCCTCAGCCCCCACAGTCACAAGAAAGCATTAACGTAATGAAGTCCGAGTGTCTTTTGGAAAAAGACCCTAAACAAACATCGAAAGTATTATTCTTTTCACCCCAGGCCTTCCCAGCTAGCGGCAAAGTTGAAAGAAATAGGAACTTGGCTTTCCTGGTGAAGGAGAGATGGAGTCAGAGTCCTTAGGGGGTGTCCCAGGAGGCCTCACAGGGTAACCTAGCTGTGATTTTGATTAGATAAAACATGGAACTTTCTGTTCTCTGCCAACCACATCTTTCTCTTGAGCCCACAGTGACAGCAGAAAGAAAGAGAAAAAGAGACAGAAGCCAGGGGACACACTGCTGCCCCATACCTTTCCTGCGTGCGCACAGGCACACAGAACCGTTGCACACCCTCCCCGCGATAGAGAACAAGTATGCTGTTGTCTACACACAAAAGGACACGAAGTTCATACAGACCAGGTGAACAAATCTCGACAGTCCTTCCAATGTTTTTAGGAACCCTGGAGATACTAGGTGAGAAATAAAGTTATATCCCTGGGTCTTTCGACAGATCTCATTACAATAAGTACTCTTCGATGTCAGCTGAGGTCCCATTGACCCAGAATCCCATCGATCTATGAGAATTCACAGATCCCTGTATTAGTTACTTTTCTTGCCACTCTGTTCTTCTAACAAAAGCAACTTAAGGAAAGAAGGGTTTATTTGAGGGATTTCAGTCCATCGTGGGAGTGGTGGTGGTAGTCCACGGCAGCTGGAGCATACAGCAGTGAGTCACTAGGAGTGGGATTTGGTCTGTGTTCTCTGTGTTCTGGTCAGCCATGATGCAAGACCCTCTACCATATGTTCCTGCCACCACGGACTACCACCACCACTTCCATGATGAACTCCAGGGCAAAAGAAAAGACATATGCTCTGCCATGAGCAGTCCTTAGTGCTTTCTCCTCATCTACTCTAGCTGGGGATAGTGTGGGTACCACGGCATCTTAATCCTTCATGAAGCGTTCACTGAATGTCCAGTGACCAGATACACACTTCACCAGGACACTTAACATACAAGTTCTCAACATACAAGCCAGATGCGCAAGCCCGAGGCTTGGGAAGAATGAGAGTAGCGTGGGTGTGTGACTTACTGTGGACCAATGAACCTGTCCTCTCTATACACTCCAAGGTCCCAGACAGCTGTTCTATCAAGACTCCCAGCCACTGCCCTGGGGCCTGACCCTCCGTGGAAGAATTCCTGCAGCCACAACTCCTCCTCCTGAGTCTTCTGGAAGCTGGAGAAAATGCAGAGTGCTAGGTCCACTCCAGAAGCTCGGAGTGAGTAGTCACTGACACACAACAAGGAAAACACCAGGAAGGATGCTAAAAGAGGGTGCCTTTTCTTTCGGACTTCTCTGACAAGAGCATCATAATTTCATTCCCAATGTGTGGCAAGGATATTGAGAGAAGGCAAAGAGGTGCAGTCTTGGCTAGAAAAGGAGCCAAGTCCAGAAAGGTCTATGTCTTGCAGGATGGGGGGTGGGCATGGTTTCCATTCACGTGATGTGATACTGGGAGAGTTTTGTCCTGAAGGAGGAGGGACTATGACTCAGCTCTTGAAGATGAAAACAAACACATACAATGCTGCACTAGCCGGGAGCATCAAAACCATGGCTGCCTTTTACAGACACAAACCAGCAGTGAGACAGGACCCGGGAACTGTTGGCTTCTTTTCTACCCATGGCGTAGCATGGAGCCCAGGGGTTATCATGGAGGGTACTTGTGCCTCATACCTTCTGTTCCCTCTGGCACTCACCCTTCACCCAGCATTATGTGGAATCTGGTGGCCTGCGGATGGAGGTATAAGGGAACCTGGAGAAGCCTACCTTTATCCCCAAATCCTCTCCCTCCCCTAAGGAGCAGCTCAGTGGCACACACAGTGAGGACACTGTGCAGCCCTGCTCTCAGGAGGAACTGTTAAGTTCCTTTCAAAGGTCACTCACAGATTCCAACATGGTAATCCCAATTCCAATAGCTCAAGGCATATCGATGGAGTAACAGAACCAGGCCAAGGGGCGGCGGCTTCGCTTCCAGAGAATCCTTGCTCTGCTTTGTACTTCTTGGCCAGTCCTGGATCCTAAAGCAGGCCACCAGCCGGAGTATCTGTCAGCACTACGGATGTCTGGAGAATCTTTAAGTTATTCTAAGCTCTCTTCCTTCCCCACACACAGCAGAGCTCTTAAGGCTCCTTCCAAACCAGCCACCCCTGAAAGCTCCCCTTCTCCACCTACCTGTGCCCAGTCAGCACCCCCTCTTTCTGACCCAACTCTTGTCTGGCTTCTCATTGGTTCCTGACCAGCTGCTCTTTCTCCTGACCTCATGTTGTAGCGCGTCTTTCTTCTCTTGGATATTTTTGACCATGAGGGGTTTCTCTGGCACTGCCTGACGTCTCTTGAATGCAACTCATTTCTATATCTCATCCTGGAGAACATGAAGCCAGAAAGCTCCACAACAATGCCATCACCCACATCCCAGAGACAGAATCAAGACCTTCATTCTCCCCTGCTGCCCCCATGTGTGTCTAATTGGTATAGTTGATGGACCCGTGAGTCACAGGCAGGTCGGTCGGTGATGAGTTAGTATGCTTCTTACAGAGCAGAGTCTTCCTGGCCAATCAATAAAGTTCAACCTACCACCAGTGGTTGATGCTCCAAAGTGCTTTGAAATCCACAGACCAACAGGGCGGCAGGCTAGCCAACTGTCCCAGAGCAGAGACTCTCAAAGGAGTCAACCACACAGCTCCCAGGGTGAGGGAGGCAGAATCCAAGAAGGGGAGAAAGGAAGACAGATGACGGGGAGAAGGACGAAACCGTCTACAAAGAGATTCAAACTCACCTTTATCGTAATCACCATCCTCAATGGCTTTTTCTTGAAGTTTCTGAAGCTTTAAACTTAAGGAAGTGACCTGTGTTGGTTTGAAGGGGAAACATGAGAAATAAATTATATGTAAGAAATTACATATAAGAGATAAAGTACAAATAAATTTCAGTAGGTTCATTCTGTGAAATCTAGGAGCACCTAAAAACTACTTCAAAAGTGGGCTGTCAAGATGACTCGAGGGTGATGGCCCCTGCTGCCACGCCTGAGGACCTGAGTTTGATCCCCGAGGCCCACGCAGTGGAAGAGAGATCTGACTTCCACAAATGCCCTCTGACCTCTACAAAAGTACCATGACCCACACATGCACATAAATAGAAAATGTAATAAAAAATTAAAATCCGCCGGGCGGTGGTGGCACACGCCTTTAATCCCAGCACTCGGGAGGCAGAGCCAGACGGATCTCTGTGAGTTCGAGGCCAGCCTGGGCTACCAAATGAGTCCCAGGAAAGGCACAAAGCTACACAGAGAAACCCTGTCTCGAAAAACCGAAAGAAAAAAAAATTAAAATCCTGAAAAGCAATACCATTTTTTAAAAAGGAAACTATTTTAAAAGTGAGCTTCTATTTAAACTACTTTTTAAAAACACACAAATATACAGTTTTCCAATGCCAAATGCAGGTTTCTTAAAAAAAAAAAAAGTTACTTGAACAAAAAGGAAAATTTAAGCATGAAATCCCCAGAGAGACTTGGAATGCTACAAATACCACAATGTTATGCCATTAGCAGCATGAAGGGCTATGTGGAGAGAAGGAACACAGACTGCAGGCCAAATGGCCCCTGCGCTAACCTCAGAGCATAGCCATGAAGGTAAATGTGGGAACTAAAAGAGCAGCCAAGGGGAGCCAGGCATGGACCACCGCTGTCTCAGGCCAGCCCAGGAAGGGCTGCAGGCCCGCTTCAAGGGTCCATCACGGGGAAGGTGCTGCCTTGGGCTGGACCTGTAGCTCAGTGCTATGCACCTAGGCCTCTAGTTCCATCCCCAGCACAGAAAGCTCTGAATGGGGAGAAGAAAGGAAGAAGGAGGAAGTGGAGAGCCACCAGCAGCCACACCTTCCTTCCCAGAACAACTTCCTAAAGGGCCGTGACCAGTACTTGCTTCTAAACACTGAGGCTGGGCACTGGGGAGATGGATCGGTCACTGAAGTTCTCGCCTGGCAAGTGTAAGGACCTGAGTTCAGTGCTCAGAACTTACACAAGCACAGTGACCCATGCTTGCAAATCCAGCTCTGGGGAGGAGGCCACAGGAGACTCCATGAGGCTCACTGACCTAAATGGTGCACTCCAGCACAGTGACAGGAAGGTTGTCCTCCAGCCTACACACACACACACACACACACACACACACACACACACACACACACACGTGTATATGCAGGCACACATGCAAACACAAAATAAAACAGTCTCTTTGTAGGAGGACCCACGCAGCCCACGGAGCAAGTGAAGCACAGCAGGGGAGGATGGGCCACTCTCACTCCTCCCCAACGCCAGCTGACTGTCTCCCTTACCCTTCTTCCAGTGTCTTATTTTTATCACATTTCTTTACTGCGGGGCAAGGGGAGACGGCAACTCGCAGGAGTCAGCTCCCCTTCCACCATGTGGGTCCTGGGAATCAAGCTCAGGTTGTCGGACTTGGCAGCCAGTGCCTTTCCCCACCGAGCCATCTTGCCAGCCCCCAGGGTCCTATTTCAAAGCAGAGCTAAGCTGAACAAACCACACTGCAGGTCAAAGGTTGTGGGGAAGCGTGGGCCCCATCAGCAAGTACAGGCCAGCACCTAAGCCACCCAGATGGAAAGCAGAGAGCAGAGCACCCATGTTCAGATGCAGGGGGACAGAAGTGTCACCGCATCTTTTCAGTCAGCCATGGAAGCTTCCAGGTAGAGCTCTCAAGTCAGCTGCCCACTCCCTGCCTCCACCCAGCATGGAGAGTTGGAGTAACAGTCTCCTGAAGGACACACACCTCCAGCTGCCTGCGGTTACTCAGTAGGTAGTCCTGTAGCACGGGCTCCCATTCGCTGAGCAATGAATCCCATCCACGGGTATCTGCCCAGTCGCTGCCCTGGTCGCCCCACCCACCAGCTGAGGTCGGGTCCTGGGATGAGAAGCCAGTATCCAAGGGAGAGACCATGCCACGTTCTGGATTGCTGCTGCTCCCTGTCAACTGATCCAAGTCCACCAAGCCTGAAGTAGCTTGAAGACTGAAGGTCCAGAGATGTCGAGGGTCCTCAGCGGGCCTGCCTGAGCTGGACGCTTCAGCTGCCATGTCTTGGGGGCTCTGATGAAGGAACTCAGCCTCTCTAGATGGTAGGCAACCTTCTGCTTCTCCACGTTCTCCAGCAGCACCAAGGGAGAGTCGGATGAAGCTGAAGTTGGATGTAAAGGTGTCTTGGGAGCCAGGAAGAGCTGGGATGTCAGCAGAGCCATTCAACTCCGGTGATGCCAGAGCTTTCACAGTCTTCAGGCCCCTCGACCCCTCGCTCCACGCTACATCAAGGCCAGGGGCCAGGGACTTAGGGCTGTCAGAAGACAAAAAGTCTTGCCAACATCCACTGTCCCCAGGCCTACATGGCCTGGTTAGCCTCTCAGGCAGTTTGTTGCCATTTCTGGAGTGAATCGCAAAGTGCACTGGTGTTTCTCTCCTAGAGCTCTGGGCTGGGTGCGAGCCACCCACAGAGGCCACAGCAGGGGCAAGCGAGCTCCTGAGAAAGGAGCTGTCCACCACCTGACAGTGGCTGCTGGGGTTGAGGCCACACTGTCCAGCCCTGGACTGTGAGTCGTGAGACTCCTGGCCTGCCGGCCCTGCTGAGATCTGGCATGACATGCTCGCTGCTGGAGAAAGGAACCCGATCCCGGGACCGGCCGTGCTTCTCATGTAGCCTGGTCTCCGTGTCAGCCGCCGCCTCTGAGGGGCTGCCCCAGGCGGCGAGCCATGCCCACTGTCTGAGAAGAGAAGAGAAAACAATACATGTTATTGACTCAGTCGGAACTGCATGTGGAGGACATGCTAGACATAACAGGTCCGCTGTGAGTACACCTACCAAAGATACAGCATGTAAGCTCTTAGGATCCTAAGCCAGGCATGGTGGGACACACCCATAATACATTGAGACATGAAGGCAGAAAGATCAAGGTCATCCTCACCAACATAGGGAGTTCAAACCTAGCCTGAGCTACACGACCCCCTGTCTTAAAAAATTAAAGAAAGCTGGTGCTCCTCTGCCGACGTCCAGCCCAGCCCAGCATCCCAGCCCTTGGTTGGCAGAGAAGCAGGCCCTGCTGTATGTCTAACAGCATGTCAGTCCAGGTCCTGGGGGCACAGCCTGGGCAGCTCCCCAGCAACTCTCCTAGTGCCTAGGATACATCAGCATGTCCATCCAGGAGAGGGCTTGGAAAGCAAAACATCAGCGCGTGACTCCATCCTTCATTCCGGTCACTACTGGTAGACACTTGGATTTTCATTATCCAACTATCCGTGTCCCCACATTCCCAATGCATTCCTGAGGCCTTGGTGGCTGGCTGTGGTGTCAGCAAGGGCTGCCCCTTCTTTCTGCTCACCCAGTAGACTACTGGGCCAGAGTCCTCATTGGCTATCCTGAAGAAATAGGAACATTGACAAATGCTGTCACTTCACTGTCTGGTCCAAGCCTGGTCATACCACTTGCTGACTGTGTGAGCTCCTACAAGCTATTCAACTTCTCCGTGCCTCAGTTTCCTCCTCAGTAAAGGGGGGGGTCTGGAAGGACCCCTTGTAGAAGGTTCTCATAAGCATCAGTATAAACAGTTTAGAACAGTGTGATAAAAATGTTTGTTACAGGACTGGGGGGATGGCTCAGCAGGTAAAGTACTCGCTGTGCAAGCATGAGTTCAGTCCCCAGAGCCCAGGTAAAGAATCCCAGGCTTGATAACACATGCTTGCAATCCCGGTGCCGAGGAGGCAGAGACAGGAGGATTCCTGGAGTTCATCGACCAGACAGTGTAGCCAAATGGATGAGCTATAGGTTCAGTGAAAGACTGTCTCAAAAATTAAAGGCAGAGAGTCTGGAGAGCTGGCTCAATGGTTAAGGTTGCAACTAGGCACCAAGTAACCTTGCTAGTGCCAACTTCAAAGACACGGGCTAGAAGAGCAGGCTTGTTCGGTCACACATTATGCCAACAGAAATGCCAAGGGCAGGTTTTCTAAGGCCACCATCTTCAAGATGTAGATGGGCCTCTACTCCACAAGATCACTAGTTGCTCTTGCAAAGGACCTGGAATCAGTTCCCAGTACCCCCATGGCAGCTCACAACCAGCTGTAACTCCAGTTCCAGGGGATCCAATGCCCACATCTGACTTCCCCGAGCACCAAGCACTACTGTGGTGCATATAAATACATGCAGAAAATACACTCTTACACATAAAGTAAATAAATCTAAAAAATATTTTTAAAAACTAAAGATAAGGAAAGACACTCAGTGTTGGCCTTTGATCTCCGTATGCACATGGGCATGGGCACACACAAATATATTCCCATTAACAAGGACACACACCACATTCACAAATACCACACCATCTATCCACACAAAGCTGAGTGTGGTGGTGTACACTTGCAACCCCAGCTCTGAGGAGGTGGAGAGACAAGAGGGTACCTAGGATTCACTATCCAGACAGCCTAGCCTAATTGGCAAGTTCCAGGTCACAGCGAAAGACCCTGTCTTACACACACAAGGAAAAATAATTAGAAGTTTGTAATAACTCCTGAGGTCCCGGTTATGACCTCCCAAAGCCTGGCTCAGCCCTGATCCTTGTCTTCCTCCAGGCTCACCCTTTCTCCTTTCAGGATGATGCTCACCACAGCTCACAACAGCTCACCACACCAGAGCCCCACCAGCTTGGAGCACCCACCAGAGCTACAGAATACAAGAGGGAACAGAGGGAGCCCCCAGAAGAACAGCTGCCCCTCCCACCCCCTGTAAAAC